CTGGGTGGGTCTGAAAGTTCTAACCCTCTAATCACATGGTTGGCGCCCCCCAGCCACCAGACGCCCTCCTTAGGCGCTTTCCAAAAGTCACCTCATTCACGTAACATCAGCTTTATCACTCGGGTTTTGGGAGCTGTGAGTCAGGAACTGTGGACAAAGACCAAATATATACGAGAAGTATATTTTGATCATCTGAATGACCAAATACATATTTCTGCTTATAAATCACACTATGGCACCCAGGTCAAGTGAAATCTCCGAATGCCTTGCTCATTGGTGGCTGACGAGCCAGCAGCTCCCCTCCCCCACCCCTACCCCTGCCTCCATCCCTAGAAGGTGCTACGAGTGTTTCTTGGAGAAATGATTAGAGATAAAAATCTTGGCTCCTCCAGCACATTGCCTCTCTCCTCTCCATCTCTGTGGTTGTGCCACTGGCCTAAGTTGACCACACGCCCCTTGCCAGCCACCTCACAGCCTGATGAGATGCAGGACCTCATCGATGAGCCTTGTGGCCCAGTCCTGGATGGGCGGTAATTTCTCTCTCGCATGCCAGCATCGACTGATCTGTAGTTGGGAGCTGCCTGGAGTGTTGTACCGAGAAGGAATCTGAGCTGCCCCTGGACTAGCAGGAAGGTGTACGGTGATTGACTAGCAATGTCTGCCGTGGACACAGGAATGGTTAGGGGTGCTGCCTGTGCCGACTACTTGCCATTTCCAGTCTGCTGTTCCCCCTGCCACGGTGAAGCAAGAGGCTGGTCGGACTTCTACTGGGAGGCTCCCCTGACTGCGTTTAGGGTTTGAGCGGTCCATCAAAGGGTTATCTTTCTACCCCTGCTGTTTTGCTACCTGGAGCTGTACTAACGCAGTAGCCACTAGCCACATGCGACTAGTTAAATTTAAATGAATGAAAATTAAATGAAATGAAAACCAGCTTCTCAGTCGCCCTAGCCGCATTTCAAGTGGTCACACGTGGCCAGCAGCTACCATATTGGGCAGCACAGACGCAGAGCACTTCTGTCATCACAGAAGGTTCTGTTGGACGGAACTGGACTGAATCAGTGGTTCTAGTAGGTGGCGATTGTGTCCCCCATGGACATGTGGCAATGTTGGAAGACATCCTCAGAGAGAGGGGTGCCTCTAGCATCTAGTGAGTAGAGGCCAGGGATGCTGCTAAGCATCCTACAATGCACAGGACAGCCCCATCGCAAAGAATTATCCAACCTCAAATGTCCACAGTGGGGAAACTGAGAAACCCTGGTCTGGAAAAATCACATCAAGTGGAGGGGAGCATTAAGGGGAAAAAAAAAGAAGCAAACTAATCTTGCTCTGAACAGTAAACAGATGTGACATAGAACTGAAAAATAAGCCAACCCTCTGTTGACAGAACAAGAAGAGAAGTAACTCTTAGACTCTTCACCCTCTTAAGGAGCTCTGTGGCCCCAGGCAAGTCATTAAACCTCTCTGATTCTCAGTTTCCTCCTCAATGAAGCTGGGACCACATCACACACACACTCCCTTGATTATCAGTGGATTGAACAGGGCAGTGAGTGTGAAGGGGCTTTGTTCTCTGTTCCTGTAAGAAACAGTGTTGCAGAATTCATTATCTTAGCTCATGTTGTTTATTAAACTAGATGAAACATACACGCCTCCGGGAGAAAGGCACCGCGTCCCAGTTTCATTTCACCGATGACCTTGAATCACTTAAACCTCTAAATCCCACTTCCTGATCTGAAAAATGGGGCCAATAACTCACGCCCAAGCTCACAGGAAAATTCCGCGTGAATGAGACATTTAACCGCATTGAGCGACCGTCTGTCCCTCAGCTCAACAGCTAAGCCAGTTGCCCTCCGAGAAATGGAAACTCTAACCCCAGCTGGTACCAGAGAAACAGCTGAACGTGCCCTCGGTCCTTTATGGGCAGGGATAAATTCCCCTGGGACCCTGGCCCTTGAAATTCCTCCTTCCCTGAGTGAGAGCACCGGCCGCGTATTTGGTAAACCCACGCTGCCAATCCTCCAGCGTCTTTCCTTTGTGGTCAGGAATTTTGGTTCTTCAAAGGAATTGAGGGTCAGCGAGAGGCACAGTGACAAGCGGAGTGGAAGAGGAAAATGACGGAGCGGAGAGAGTCCTGCGGGGGCGGGAGAGGTGATTCAGAAGAGGCTGATGGTGGCTCTGGATCCTTGAGACAGAATGGGGGGTGTGTGTGTGTGTAAGAATCTGCCTTGATGGTTATGAGATGCCCCCATTAGTTCTCATCTCAAGGACCTTGTTTGTGTAATAAAGTGCATTTTCATTACTTGCAACTGAAATTAAAGCTCAGATTGAACCCCTTCCTTTGAGATTTCAAAGAAGATTTTGGGCTGAGAGTAATAGGGAAACTTGGGTTTTTATTCCTACCATGGGGAGCCCCAGGCTGCTCCCTGAATGCCAGCCTTGAAGGCAGGGGCTATTCTAAGTCCAACACTCTCCCTGCAGAGCTGTGTGTCCTTGAGCAGTTGCTTCCCTTCTCTGTGCCTCAGTTGCCCTATCTGTGAACACGTGGGGTCGAATTCGTCAGTACCCGGGGACCCTCCACTTGTCTCAAACTCGCCTTCTCCATTTTTCAAATAATTCAATGTCACGTAGGTTAAACGTTAAGGGTACCATGAAAAGACAAGGAGGAACCTTAAATGCACATTCCTAAGTGGAAGAAACCAATCTGAAAAGGCTACAGACTGTATGATTCCAATTCTATGACATTCTGGAAAAGGGAAAACTATGCAGCCAGTAAAAAGATCAGTGGTTGCCAGGACAGGAGGCGCAGAGAGGATGTTTAGGGCAGTGAAACTACTCTGTGTGATGCTGTGATGGCAGATCTGTGTTGTTGTCCATTTGTCCAAACCCACAGAATGTACATCACTGAGTGAACCCTAATGTCGACTGTGGACTTTGGGCAATAACGACGTGTCACCATAGGTTCATCCATTGTAACAAATGTCCCACTCTGGCGGGGATGTTGCCAGTGCGGGAGGCTGTGCGTGGTTGGGGGCAGGGGCTGTATGGGAACTCTCCATACTTTCTGCTCAGTCAGTTTTGCTGTAAACCTGAGTCCTCTAAAAAATAAAGTTTATTCATTAAAAAAATTAAGGCTATGCCATATGCGGCAGCAACTAACCACCTGCTCGAACCAGACCACTCAGACAGTTGCTTTTAGGGACCAGGTAAACCAGGCCCCGCTGAAGGGCCGTCTTGTCATGGCCTCGTGGAGACGCAGCAGAACCAGGAGGGTCTCTCGGGCTCTCGGGCCTCTGTTCTCATCTCAAAATGCCATCAGAAACGCCTGATCTGGGTGAGCAGGGGCCTTAGGAAATTTTGCAGACATCAGCCCTCCCAAAGCAGCGTGCGTGTTTCCCCGTTTGACACAGCGGGTCCTGAGCAGCTGCCCCCTGTGTTTTCTTGGCTCACAGCAGAGGACGGGCGGCTCCCGCCTTCCGTGGGCACCAGAACCCCCTGAGAGCTCTTAAATCCACGGGCGTCTGGGCCCCCTCCCAAGACGGGAGGGTGGTTCCAAGACGAGCCTGGGAATCTGCGTCCTGAAAGGCCCCCAGGTGAGGCTGAGGCAGGTGGTGGACACCCCGCACTGGGAGGAGCCCTGCCCGGGACAGTCAACCCTGGGAGCCGCCTCCGGGATGGCGTCACCCAACCCCCTCAGGTTTCGGAAGGGGAAACCGCAGCTCAGATCGGGGCAGGGACTTGTCTGAGGTCACAGAGTCAGCAGAGCCCAGACTAGGCCACTCAAGGTGACCAGGCCTGTGTGCCTTGGCGATACACAGCCCCTCAAACCTCAGGAGACTCTCCTCAACCTCCTTCCCCCTCCCCTCTCTCTCTATTATTTTCTAGAACTTACCCATCACCTAAACCACACGGGCTCTCCCCTAACCCACCCTGGACTCTTTATCCAGATACAGAATACAAGTCTGTTCGGTAGCAAACACAGCCCCCGAGGCACCACCGTCCTGCCTGACACGGAAGCCCGTGGGGGACCCTCAGCCTCCGGAGCTGGCGCGGTGAGCGGCCCGGCATCTCCTTGGCTGGCCACAAAGTGAAAGCAGCAGGCCAGCTTTCCGGGCCCTGTGGGACGGAAGCCCAGGCCCCCGCCGGGTCAAGGCCAGCCTGGGCGGCTTGGAACCCACCCGGCTTTTCCCTCCCAGCCGCCTCTCCCCGAGAGCCGCACGGAGGCAGCAGCCCCAGGCCCACGGCTGGCGGGGGGGGGGGGGTCGTGGTGACTCCAGGGAGGGGGCTCCACGTTTAAGCACAGCCTCCTTGGTGTCCCCACCATCCCCACTGTCCCTGAGGCCTGTGGAACTGCTCCATTCAAAGAGAAGCCTGGAAAGGGCACCAGAGAAAAGGCCCCCTCTGGGACGCAGCATCAAGCCAGTGCCGCGTGAAATTCAAACTTTGGTCCAGGAGCCACCGTCTCTCCTCCCCGGCCGCCCACACATGCTAAGCTGGAATAAAAATACGCAAATACTTTACCATGAAGGCTTGTACTCAGCATGGTTGGAAATGTGAAAGGGAAGAGATTGGCTCCCTGACCGTAAACTGACAACCAGTTAAGCAGAAATCGCTGGTCTTTGAGGAAAAATAGGGACCCTGACGTCTGCCGGTTGAGATCCCACAGCGGAGGCGTCTCAGGCCTCTGGACATAGTTTTTTAAATGATTAGCAAACAGCTGGGTCCTGACAAGGGCGATCTTTCAAAGTGTCCGCTCGCCCTTGTGCTTTGTTTTAAAACCCTTCCACGAAATACTCTCGTTTTCTGAACGAGCGACAGAGGCAGCCAGAGAAGAGAAAGGTCTCGTAGGCTCTAAATCTTACAGGCTCTAAATATTTTAGGCCAGAAAGACCTAAAATAGACACAAAGACTGGAGGCCTGGCCCCTGAAGCCCCCAAAAGCACATGCTGGAAAATCAGGCCCAACAGCTCGCGAGGTGCCCATCATCAAACCCAGCCCGACAGTACCTGTTCCACGCGGGGCCACCCGTCTCAGGAAACACTCCCGCCCAAGAGGGCTCCCTGGGTCGCAGGGCCGAGACCCCACCAAGCCGGCCAGCAGGGGCGGAGGAGAAATGTCAGCGCTCGCCTCCCCGCACCCTCACACACATCCCTTCGCTGCCTGCTCCTCCTCGTCCTCCCCCCACCCTCCCTCCCTCTGCGCCAATGTGATCGCAGCAGCTGAGTCGACAAGTCATTTCTAAAATTAGCCGGTGAGCCCCAGGTCTGGCCAGGAGACGGCAGCCCGGGGCGGCCGGTGACCAGGCATCAGAGAGCATGGACATATTTGGTGGCGCGGCCCAGGGGAGGGGACAGCTCCCTACGCAAGCACATTCTCACCCGTCATCCTCGTCCCAGCGGGCCGCATCCCCGCACTCCGGCCTCTGCACTGTGCGGACAACCAGAGGCCGCAGGACCCGGGCGAGGTGAGCCCGGGTCTGCACTCCAGCTGGACGCTGGGAAGAAATGATTTGAACCAATGCTGGTTCCTGCTAGGAAAGAACCGATGCATGAAAACGGGCCCAAGGAATACGTGGCAGTGATCACACGCCAGACCCGCAACTGAGGATTTAAAGGGACTCGCTTACTATTCCCGACGGCCCAATGAGGTAGGGTCTATCCCCACTCCCATTTGATAGATGGGGAAACTGAGGCACAGAATGGTTAACCAACTTGCCCAAAACAATGGAGAGGCAGGATTCGAACTCAGGCAGTGCTGGCCCCAGCGGGCACAGTCTTAAACACCACACCAAACAGGATGCTCTATAGACCGCTTCATTCACTGACGGAAAGGAGAAAAGCAGAGGCTTCAAAAGATGGACTGGACCATGCAGGTCCACACTGCTGGCGAGGAGTACAGTCGGGACTGAAATCCAGGTCTTTCTGATTCTGAAGCTCAGGGTCGTTTGAACAGGACATGCTGCTTCTCTTAAGAAGCGTTTCGACTATTAACACCTGTTGTTACTCTTCTGTCCCCGTGGCGGGTAGAGTAACATGTTCCCAGAGTACTTATGTCCTTCTGGGTCCTGACAATTAGCATCCAACTGGAAGTTCATCAAAAGACTAAGCGAAGCCCGCTTTGGACGTGGCAGTCTACACAATCAACACAACATCGGGGAGGGTCCCAGTGGGTCCCCCTCCGAGGGTGGCGTGGCACATCTCAGGCCGCTCCCCGCCAGGTTGAAGAGGACAGGTCCCACAGGCTGCCTTCTCCATGTGGTGCTCCATCCTCTGCTGTTGAAACGTGAACCCACCTGCTGAGACTCGTCTCCTGGGGCTTTTCTGTCCTTCACATCTTTTCGTGACTGTGGGTCTTAACTGGTGGGTGGGCATGCAGAAATGACCCTCCGGGCCCGGGCTGGGGTCTCCGTAAGCCGCCACCTGCAGTGATGGTTAGGTTGACCTTACAGAAGCCGAGGGCACCTGGCTGGTCTGCTTTATTCCCCTGGTACCTGTGGGGGTGCATTTTCATCCCCCAGGACAATCAAGTATGGCTCTGACCCGGCTACGATTTAGGGTGGCCTTTGTAAATAACATTTTGTCCCCTGGTGAGCATTTATCTCCCAGTCTCCGGGCTTCGTTCCCCAGGTGGGAGGAAAGGACGAGAAAGTGGAGGCACTCGGAGCAAGGCCCCCAGAGAACGGGTCCCTTCTGGTGCTTCCCGTCCAGTTAGCACGGACGGTCCAAGGGGCTATAGGTCCTTTTGGGCAAAAACTGAGGGAATCATGACTGCGCACACCTGCCCTGGGGTTGTGGCCCTTCTCCCTGGAGACCTGGCCTTTTCCTCAGTGAGTTCTGGGTCCACGAAATGGCAGAGTGGTTGTGACATTTTATTGGGGCAATTGACTCCAGCCGCCTGATCATCCTTAATTTCCTTTCTGAGCAGGACCCGTGAGATGCTACATTCTATTGGTCATCTCCGTCTGTCCCGCCAGCAGGAGCCCTGGGTGTCCCCCACCTCGCACACACTAGGAGGAGTGCTCACCCGCCTTCGGATGGTCAAGTGCCGTCACCTGGCCTCTGGGGTTTGGGCTCCTATCATCCCCACTGCTATGGGAGAGCCATGTGCACATGCGTGTCTGTGTGAGCGTGCATGCATGTGCATGTGCGTGTGCTGATAAACTGGAGGAAAGTCCCGTGCATGTCTGTGTGTGCGACAATCATGAGAATCCTTCCACTACTGGGGGGGCCTGTGTTGTGTGTCACGGTCCCCGTGGGATGAAGGGGAGCTGTCTCTCTGTGCCTGTGTCTCTTTAAGTGGCAGTACACAGCAGGTGCTCCATAAATGCTTATGGAATGAAGAAGTGAATATATGGAAACTGGGCTGGAGCAGGTGTCTGAGGACCTGGTCCCGCATCATGCTTTCTCCAGATGTCTGTCTGTCTCTCTGTCCGTGCCCCCTAGCCTGTGGTCCCCTGCTCATCCCAGCGCAGGGCCGGGCTCTGAGTGGGGCTCACGGAATCACTGGTGCACGAGGCAATGAGCGAACAGAGACTCTAGTCTGGGGCGTGGAGGGGAGAGATCCCCCCAGAGGAAACCCCCCAGGGCCTGCCCTCTGACCCAGGTCCAAGGTGGTGTCTGTGCTGAGCTCTGGGTGTGGGGGCAGGGCATGGGCTTTGGGGCCAGGCCCAATCCCGACCTCGGGGAAGTGGCCTCCCCTCACTGGGCCCCGGGGAGCCTCTCTGTAAAATGGGAAGCCCGGTCCCACTGACTGCTCCAGTCTGCATGGCCCATGGTAGGTACTCAGTGGATGTTTGTTGAATGACTAAATGACTGAATGTAGATCTATACTAGCTTTTCCTAACATCGGCACTGCCTGCAGAGGAGAGCCAACACTGAGCTTCCTCATGGTGCTGGTGCCCTCTCCCCTGCTGGACTTGAGGTGTCCACCTGGCCCTGGGGGGTTTTCTGGCCTTACTTAGTATACCCCCTCAAGCCCACCCACCTCTCTGAGTCCTTTCATCCCTCTTTCACTGTCCGCCACGGGAACTCCAGCATCCCAGCCTCCCCAGCACGGGCATTCCCACGCTTGCAGGAGTCAGGCTGGTGGTGAGTTTGCACCACCTCCTGGTGCCCTTGCCCGGGTGTGAAGTCCTGTAGCCCACAAGAGTGACCCCGAATGCACAGACTCTCCTTTATGCAGCCTTACCTGCTGCTCCCCTTGCTCAAACGTGCTCAGCATCCCATCCCATGTGTCTCAGCTCCTGCGCGTCGGTGCTGGCTGGGTCCTGCAGCGCCATCGGGGTCTAATTCCTTTCTTCCCTTATCAGCCCCAGCACGTCCCCAGCTGGCCTATGACGTAATTTCACCCTAGCCACAGGCCTAGTGGCAAGGAGGGGTGGAGGAGCAGGTCCTGACGGGGCCCACGTGACCACCTCCTCATCCTCAAGCAGGGGGGCTGCCATTTCTCCCTAGGAAGGAGCAGAACCTTCTGCAGCCTCGGAGAGTCCAGAGGAATCTGGAGATCCAAGGTTTTCACGGGCATCGGCTTGGATGTCCCCAGCCCATGTGACAAGGTCTCATTCTTTCCCAAGCGGAGTGCGTCTTGGCAAAGCAGACCTGCCTCGGTTGGGAGTTTAACCATCCTTGGAGCTCGTCTGGTCTGACTGTTAAGTCCTGGGTCCCGTCCTCAGTTTCCCCTCCCTCCCACTACAGCTGGGCCCTCCTTATATACTACTGGCTTTCACACTTAGTTTTCAATGAGCAATTAATTTCTCTCTGATTTTTATTATCTTTTTCCAAAGCATCCTTTGAGCTTAGCAATAGCCACCCAATTCCATTGTCCATTATTTCTCCCATTTTCTCAAATGCTTGATGGGGCACACCAGCCAGTGCATTTCTTTCCCCTGGTTTACCCTCCCAATTCACCTGTTGGAGCTTTGAATGCTGGGCCCCCTTCTGCACACCAGCGGCTATGTGTGTTCCACCTATTTCCACCTATGACCACGGCCAGCCAGGCAAGGCGTGGTCCAGCTGCCACCTCCCATCTTAGTGCCTGCTTCCTCCAGCCACACCCGGGACCAACAGGTGCACATTGGGTTCTCCGGGAAACAGACTCTGAGATAGAATTTAATGAACAGATGTTTATTAAGGAGCGCCCTTGCCACTGTGGAAGGATGGAGAAGGAATCAGGATTAGGCAGAGGAAAATGTGTAGTTCTGATGAAGACCCGAAGACAGCCTGGGCCAACCCACTGTGACCTCTGGAGCCAGGCTGAAGACAAGATGGCCAGGGCTTCGTACCCCTGTGTCAACCAGTCATTGGATGTGGGCACCCTGGGTGGGGCATGACATCAGGTGAGGCAGCTATCTGTGGCTGAGGCACCCCTGAAGGGGCTGGCGGCTGAGGACTGCGCCCCTAGCAGCTGAGTCAAGGAGTCCTTCAATGCAGGAGGATCTAGACAGCATGTGACAGTATCCACTACAGACTCCCTGGCCCAGGGCATCCATGACCACGACTCTGGACCATGGTCTGCAGCATCGCTGCCGCCCAGAGATCTGCGGGTGGATGCAGAGCCCTATCCTCACCCCCGCATCCACTGACCAAGGCTGTGGGCAAAGGTGACTCTGAGTTGAGCGGGAAGCTCACTGGCGCCGCATTTCACGTCCTCATCCCCACAGTGTCTCACGGATCTGATCTGCTGTCTGGAAAAATCTGCCAAATATACTGACATTGAGAAGCGGGTGGAGCAGGTGTCAGAGGCAGCCCTGGGCCGCGCGGAGGGCCAGGTCCCCTCCTGCGATTTTGACAGTAAGCCCTGCTCCCCAACCTTGGAGGCTGGCATTACCCTCAACATCACTTGGTCAAGCTCGTTTCCTGGCACAACAAGGCATTTGGCCGCAGCAACCACATGGCAGACCTCATGGTCTACGCAGACTGCCAGGAGTCAGAGCCTTGACCTCTAATGCCAGCAACAGCCTTTCACCTTTGTGGAGTCCCTGCCACGCCACCATCCCCAACACACTGAGACTCTCCCATCCTCTCCCCAGGGCTTCTCAGCTGGGGGTGGTTTTGCCCCCTAAGGACATCTGGCAACGTCTGGAGCCATTTTGGGTCGTCAGGACTGGGGTGGGGGGATGCGCTGGCATCCAGCGGGTCGAGGCCGGGGATGCTGCTCAACAAGGCACAGGACAGCCCCTCC